TGTCCATTGCCTCCACCGACTCCTTCGCGCCCTACAACGCCTCAACCTCCACCTATGCCAGCCTTTCCTCCAACCTGACACCGACCCCCAACGCAGTACGCAGTATTTCGCTCCAGCCTCCAATGCAGACCAGTTTCGGTGGCACAACAGTCACCTACGGAGGACCCTCTAACGAGACATCTTCCGGTCGAGATGAGTGCAGTACGTCAGAACTGGCTTTATGCAGCTGCCAAAAAACTAAACATATATTTATTACGAGTAGTAAAAATATACATTTAATTATTACTGCGGAAAAGTACGGAGGCATCCTCCACTCGGGATGAGTGCGGTACATTGGAATTGGCTCTATGCAACCGTTTAAGAGAGTGAACTCGGATTGACTTCGGTAACACTCTATTAGATGTCAGACCACGGAAACCAAAAACCCCCGAATTCGGTAGTACGCGGCCGGTGGTAATAGGGGTCTTATGGATGAGCCGATGGCAGAAATATATGACAGACAAAGACAAGGAAGACACTTTCACGTATATATGGCTTATTAGCTGTCATTAGCCAGCCAATACCCATCTCTGGAGCTGTGACCCTGAGGCTCGATCCAGCCACATTGATAGTAAGAAGTCCGATGTTATTTTCAATGTGCCACGGGCTCGTTACTTTGCCGGCTTCGATCCGGAATATACATGAGTTCACACTACTCTTTCCCTTAATTTTGCTAGTGTTGCTTTCGTGGGTCGATTTACGGGATGAGACACTTGCATTCAACTCACAGTGTTATATCCAAAGAAATGTAACTTCTAAATAAATATTTTAAGCGCATGTATCCGCTAATAAACTATGAATCAGAAATTATGAGGCTCCCTTTTATAAGGGACATGTGTTCGACCGCTAAATTTTTGACGATTGGAATAAAAATGGCCGCATGCTACGAGTTTAAGTGTCATCTGTTCATAAAATAGTATAATTTGAATCCGAGCATCTTTTCCACGGTGTTGTAATGTATCTCAATCTTGAGGTGGTTGAGCACGTGCATCAGTTAACACTCCAATGCACAAATTGTTTCAACGGATAAAGTAGAAGGCTGGTCGAGTACCAGAACAGTTTCCTTTTTTCTTAGCTTTAGGGTCCCTACACGAATTCGTCGTCAGAGGTAACAATAGTGACAAAAACGGCGCAATAAAAGCGGGTATCAACTAATCAACTAACTGGTACGCACGTTTGCGCGTGACTGCGCAGGGCCTTGAACGCCGGCGCCTAATCGATACACCGATTGATTGAGTTACCATCAGTAGACCAGGCTTCAGTCCGTTCTCGGCTCATCTTGTTTTCGATGTGAGCGAGTACTTTGAGTGTTTTGAAGTTGGACTGATGGTCCATTTCATAGGGGTCAGCAGCAACTTGCAATAATTTTTCGCCCTGTCGTACGGTCAGGTGCGTGCATTTATGCGCGATCTGACCCTGCGTTCAGTTTGGCCTGTGTAATTACAAGGACGGACTAGATATGGAATGTGATACACGGAATCAGATTGCTTGAGAAAATCAACAAACTGTTTTAGTGCTCGACCAACATTTTGAACGTGAACTTTCTCATTCATCCATAAGGTTCTTCTACCTTTAAATTTTGTTTAAATTTACCGTGCAACTTACGGATGTCCGCCAAAATTTCTCCCTACTCGCGCATTAAATCCGTGAATGTTTGCTTTCAACTGGTCACAACAAATCGTTTTTCCCCTGATGTGAAATAGATTTATTGCCACGTTCGAAAAATCCTGGCTGTAAATTATTAAAGATCCAGAAGTTCGGTTGGCGGGCAGACGTTGGTTTTCAGTAAATTCCGGGTGATTTATAAAATCCAGCTAAACCATCCAAAGTTCCTGAGTCAGCGCCTGCTAGCAGCAGCAAGAGCGACCGCTATCAGGTTGAGGAAGCCGTTTTCAAGTGCACAAAATAACCTCCCACCAGCTCCGTACCTAGCCTGTTCAATGGTCGCATGCACTCCTCCGTTCTTTCTCTTTTTCTTACCTCCCTTGACCGCCCCTTCCAGGCCCTCCCTGCCACGTAACCAGCCTTCAATTACGGACCCCAAATAGTCCCGTGATTCACTTATATGAGAAGCGGAGCATATTTTTATCTTGTAGTCCATTCCCATCTAACTGTAGGGACCCGATGAGAATTTACCGAAGGTTTGGGTTTGTCTGCCAACTGCATTTCCGCATTCGCTGATGGGAATCATCTCTGCAACTTTGTAAAATATCGTGTTGATTTGAGGAATGTGTAATGCTGCCTCACACGGAAGCAGAAGATCGCGGGAATGGTTTTCCCTAATGCCTCAATTTAACTTTCTTTCGCTTTTAAAAGAGGATAGTTATCTGTACATTTTTCTCGTTTTTCAGCCTTCCCCATGGAGAGGCGGTATACCCCCCAACCGGGAGGTCAGACAACCTACACGTTAGTTACTCTTTAGCAGTTGTATTTAGCAAGACCTTCAAACGTGTCCGATCTTCCGCTCTGATCTGTTTCTCTTGAGTAGAAGGACGTTTTTATCTTTCCTCCGCTAGAGAAACTTCTCCGGATGGTCATTTCCTTCGTACTGTCGTTCTCCAGAAGGGCAGAGACGGATTTGGGTTCACGCTAAATGGCGTTCCCAGTGAGTAGTTTCTTAAGTTACCTGTTGTTCTCCTCTAATTCCTCTTCATCAATCCACTGAATTTTGACTGTTGCGATGTTTGGTGGATTCATCTTGCAAGCCTCTACTACAAATTTTTAAATAAGCGTTGTTCTGTTATTTTGTTCCTTGGGTCAGAGTTAAGGTGGTGGAACGTTCAGATAATGTTTACAATTAAATTCACATCCATTTGGCTGTCAAACACTCGAAGAAAATGCTATGCTGTGAACTCCTTAGATACACTGCAAGAAATTACCTCTTTAACCAAGCTTGTCTTTTTTGGTCTTAATTTTACGTTCATACATTCACTTAAATACCGTAGCCATATACATCTTTAGTCTTTTTTAAACGGCACACTATAAGATTCTGCTGTTTTCAAGCACTGATTTGGTCAAACTTGATGCCTTTGAATGTAATGTTGATTTCGCACTGGGACTCTCTGTTTCGTCACCTGGTCGGCAGACTCGGTAAACCAGCAACGGTGTATGATGGGCTCATCTCCTACCCTTGAGGACGTTCTTCGCAATCTTCTCCTCGTGTGACCCTTAAGATAATGATAAAAACCGCGACGGGCTCCTCCTGACATACTTCAAACACTTTTAGCAGAGGCCATCCGACTTGAATGTACTCTCCCCCCACCCCCCACGTGCGGCAGTTTTTCTCCTTAAAATCTCGCAAATGACATTCAAAACCCTAGAATATCCGAACAATGCCAAAGGAGTTTTTTCGCCATTGGCCCTTTTTTACACAGTTTCGTTTACTGGCAACGCCACTCTGTTAAAATGCTCTGCTGAACCAATGCATTGCATAACTGTTCTGTACCAATACGGAGTTTAAATGTATTGACATACATTACCCTTAACAAATACTGACCTGACCTGACCTGACCGTCCCCTTAAACGCTAATGTCTTTTTCTAGAGGTCGCCCTGGGCAGGAACGGTCTCCATAGGAAGGGCTTTCCCGGCAATCACTATTTTCCAACGATACTTCCCGGTGGACCGGCTGCCAAAGCTGGCATCAAGCCTGGTGATTACGTCATAGAGGTATGATGGTCCTTCACCGGAGTACCCGTACTGCTTACCTAATAAAACACCCTCTACTCATATGCCTTTAAGTAGCAACTATTTTATATTTCAGATTAATGGCCATAGTGTGATTGATGCTTGTCACGAGGATGCTGTTCAGTGGATACACGATGCCGGTGATACGCTCGCTATGCGAGTAGTAACCTTAAACAATCGCAGGGCCGACCCCTACGAAGAAAATTCAGGTGTGTGAATTTAGAGCATCAAATGATGATAGTTGATATGGTCCCAACTGTGACGCCTATTTTTTTCATATTTGACAGAATCAGATGCTTCTAGCAGTCGATCAAGCACACTCCCGAGAAGTCTAAATGGATCCTCCTCATCGAGCACTATCTACGATAAGCGTTCACGCAGCCACGTCAGGCTTGACGATAGATCAAGCAGACGCAGGGGTCGATCCATGCAGCCAACTACCTCCGACCGAGATAAGGTTTGGACGAGCCGACCATCTCCCGCTACTCAGAGCAAGGAGCGGGTTTTCATCATCCAGGATATTGACGGAAAGGTTAGAAGTCTAACTTGAATATATGTTTCCATATGAATTGCTTTGAGGCACAAGTTGAGATAGTTAGTGCGTAATTTTGGTGTGCTGGAGGCACGATACTAAATCTCCACTGCAGGTAATGCCCGCGTTCTGGCCACCAAGCCATTAGCGCACCAGATGGCAAACATAATCGATGAAGACGGCGGTCTCAATTAGCCTAACGATCGCATGCTATGATTACTGCACCTCTCTGTCTACGAATTTCCCTTAGTTGGTGTTGTTTTTGAAGATGACTTCTAGCTGGAATCTGAAACGCCAGGCATATAGCGTTCTTGTCACGGTGCGCGCGTCTACTTACAGGGGTATTCATTTCTATAGACCTCTGTATGCATTTATATAGACCCCTGTATGCATTGTAAAATTTTTGTCGGGCATCAAGGCAATTGCATTCGCATAAATTCTCCGGATGTTTATGAGT